TTGTCAGTGTTTGTAATTTTTGTGCACTGTTCTCTGACAGCAAAAGCTCACTCTGGGAGTCAGATCCAAAGATGAAGAGGGTGTGGCAAGGAGCCTGGAACTAGAGAGACCACGTGGGAAATGAATGCTCTCTCTTTGTGAGACAGTCCAATCCCTCTGGAAGTTTCACCCTGTGCAAAGATGCCAATAAATAGCATCTTGAGCAAATGTTTCCTCTGTTGAGTGTCTGTGTCTCACTTTGGTGGGGAATGCAGGCACCAGTACTCACTGCTTGTGGTTGGTTGACCTTGGCTGGACAGAGAGAGAAAATAAGGACCAAAGACTTGTGGGGTGAGATAAGAACAGAGAGATTGCTCAGGCTCATCTGAGGGAAGCATATTTAATTTGCTATCAATAGAATCAGAGTGGGATAATGAAAAATAAAACCAATTTTCTTAAAGTATCTTTACCACACCTCTCCCTGGGCCCAACTGATCACTGTGTCCAATCTGTGAGCCAGGACTCACACAGCACTTGGGTGGTTCTACATGCTGGGTTGCCTGACACAGCAGCCCTTACCTCCTGAACACCAGAGGTCTTAGCCAGCTACCAAAGGCAAGTGAGCAGCTTCAGCACTCAAGAATATTAGCCCATTTCCTTGACAGCTAATAGCTGTCCAGAGGAATTTGGCTTTGCAGACCTGAAATAACAAACTAGGAAGTAGGAGGATCTCCGTGGAATCCAGCTTTAGACTAAGTATTTGATAATCTGGCATAAGATCACAGCATAAAAACCAAAATGAGCCATGTTTCAAGACTGAATGTTCTGACCCGTTATGAGGAATAGATATTTATAGGAGAACTGTAAGAAAGTGTAAAAAATACAGATCATTTAATGGTTTTAGCCCTAAGCACAACAGGAAGTACAACCACAATCACATGGTAAGTAATTCCCATGGAAATGGATAATATTTTCCATTAAACTGGAATTCATTTTTGGCTATAATCTGCTTAAGGACACAGAATGCATAATGCTGCAGCAAGATGCCATATATAAAAAAAGAAAATGGCTACACTGTGGATATGACTGGGGTGTGGAGGAGGAAAGGACACACTGAAGACAGAGGACTCAGTGTAAGAAAACCCTGTCCCAGCACATCATGTTATAGGCAGGAAATGCCCTCTGTTCCCTGCCCTCTGTTACCACTGGATCTCACTGCCTGGGTTTCCCTGCAGTGGACTGGGTAAATAAAGCAAGTGAAAAACATCAGCATGGCTCCTCTTTCCCTGGTCCCTTAGCTGCGTCATGAATCTCTCCTAGGTCAGGAACAAAAAGTATTAATTAACTGCTTTACCAGACACACTGCCTCCATGTCTGCCAAGGCTATGATCAGCCCACCCAAGCTTCCTTTCTGTCCTCAGTGGCACAGAATCCACCTCCAGCCCAAACCAGGGCTGTCAGTTTGTGTTCCAGTGGCATTGCAGGTTGCCCATTCCATCTTGCCCAGCCCACCCATGGGTCCCAAAAAGTCAAGCCCACCAGGAGACCCTGCCTGGCCCAGTCGCCACAGCCCTGCTTGGCTGAGCTGCAGGATGATTTTCTGACTTGAGCTCATCCTGTCTCATGACCATGAACTTGCTCTATGAACACTCAGCACGGCTGGCTGAACCTGCTGAGAACCTCCAGGTCTGCCCTGCTCCCTGGATAGGGGCAGTGGGACAGAGACCATGGTGTTAGCACACTCAGCTCCCAGCTCCTGGACCCTGAGGGAGCTGCCAGCCCTCACAGCACCTGAGCACAAGGTTTGCAGTGCCATGATCGCCACGTTCTACCACCTCTCCTTGCCAGGGAACTACACCCCAACACACCACAGCCTCGGGCAACCCAGTGGATCTTGTTGCTGTAACTACAAGCCACACATTGGGTGGCAGTGGGGCAGTCCCAAGGGAACTGGACCAGCAGAAGTTCTGTCTGTTTATAGGTAGTGGAGAAGTTCTTGGTAGCTGGATCTATTGGTTTCCCACAACTGAAAGCTACAAAGATAAGGCTTCACTTCCATTTCTTCAGCTCCTTCTTGAGAAACAAATGCCATTGAATAGGTCTGTCAGAACTTATGGCACCATAAGGGATTGGGGTGTCGAGAGAAGAGATGCTGCCAGCAGAAACTTGTTTTGATTTACAAAAATAGTTCTATTAACTTGCCTGGCAGTGTTCAAGGCCAGGTTGAACCTGGCCTTGAACGTGGCTCTTCCTGACATAGTGGGTGGCTTCCTTGCCCACAGCAGGGGTATTGGAAGTAGACAATTTTTAACATCCTTCTTTCCAACCCAAACTATTCTATGACTTCTATGATAACTTGCACCTAGATGGCATGTATTCATGATCTCCCAATGGACAAAGGTAATGGTGGCTGGTTCACCAGGGACAGTGTTCCCATTTACCTTCCCAGCTATCTCAACAGATTATCAGTGTGGTTATGAAGCAGTTGTGAGATGCCAGCATCAGCCTTTGGATGAGGGTGTTGTACCTACAGCAGCTCCCAGCACTTGGGAAGTGCTTGGTTTTCATGACTGGGGCGAATGGTGTCAAGCTAACCAGTACCCAGACCGCTGTGGGAAAACTGAGTCAGTAATGGTGCTTTATGTCAAGCCCCTGACACTCAGAATTTATAACAAGCAGTACAGCTCTAGCAGCCTCCACCAAGAGCATGTTTTTCAGTTTTTAATCTAGGCAAAATAAGGAGAGGAGAACAGTCAACGCTAATGGAAAATACTCTTACCTTTACAAGGAATGGCTTCAAGTAAAGCATTCCACTGAGTGAATTCCCCCTTCCTTGCAGAGCAACTTACCTGCAAACATCCTAGCAGTGAACTGTGTTTTCCCTCCCTTGTTCCCTGTGGAAGTGTCAACCCAAGTATGAACAAGATGCTGTGTGATGGGACACTCCTCTCACATTCAAACAGTCTGTAGTGGTTATTAAAGGTACACAGGCAGGCTATTAAAGATTCTTTGTATGAAGAAACAGACTGAGAAAAGTTGATGTGTATTCCCTGTTCCAGAGCTAGAAAAAAGACAAGGTCACCAAACTTTCTTGCAATCAAAGGTTTCTGGAGATGCAGGCACAAATAGCCCCTTTGAAGAGGGGCTTAGAGGGAAACCCAACTTAGTATATATACATATATATATACAGGCTGGAGGAGACAGCATAGGAAAGATGAGGTTTCTTGGCATCTTACCCACACAATCAAACCACTGCAGCTGTCATCAATATTGAAATTCTCATGATCTTCCATGAGTTTCATGATTTTTGTCATCCATTTTCCCCTCAGATGAACTGAGGAAATAATCCAGCTGCATTATCTTCATGTCTGTTGAGAATGATGCACTTATACATGTAAAGGTCTTTATCTTGTCTCATGGGGTTGGGAGACTGAGAGACACAAAAGGATGGAGCCATGGTTGTCCTTATTTTAGAGCAATAATTTAAATCTGAGGAAGAAGCACACCTTTGACGTGCAGCTTCAAAAGAAGTTAAAGGAAACACGGCACATCCTGTTTCAACAAACCCTTTTCCAGTAACCCTAAGGAAGATCTTCAAACGTGTAAGTGTTTCGGAAGCTGCTTACCTTCATTCATAGTCTTCCTGTTTTCCTGTAAGGTCAAACAGATTTATATGTGAAAGGACAACCTGCAGTAGACAGAGTGAAGCCATGTATCGCTTCTTGTTTACACCAGTTTTACAAAGCTAATCCCAGAGTCTCTGCCTTTTCTTGGTATTTTCAAACTCAATAAAACCACAAAGACTTGAAGAGCAGAATAGGTGGTACATTTTAAATGCTTTTTTCAAAGGATGATTTGCTTCAGTGTGTTCTCATTATTAAAGGAGGGCATCTGCTGAAACAAAAAAGCAATTGTGCACAAAGCAAATGAAAATGCTGGGAAATATAAAGTCAAGAAAATTAATGAATGTTAACAATGTCCATGTTGCAGCCAAGCTCAGACCTGTCTGCTGTCTGTTCCAAAATCAACATCTTCATTCAAGGACTTCTCTCTTTCACAAATTCTTCTTGGTGGCATCCAAATTCTTCTTGAAGTTAATGGGAACAAGCTCTGATCATTATATAAATGACTTCTCAATGCATGAGAACCATCTTTCTGAAATCAGCAGAGGCTACATGGCTGTAGGTAGCAGAGAGTCAAAGTCATTTAGATTGGAAAAGATCCTTAATGCCATTGAGTCCAACCATTAACCCAGCACTGCCCACCACTAACCTGTGTCCCTAAGCACCATGTCTGATGATCTTTGAGGTCTTTTCCAACCTAAACAATTCTATAATTTTATGACTCCACTGATCTGATGGCACAGCTACTTTTTTATCCATCTAACTGTGCACCCAGTACCAGTGTAATGTATTCCCTTGGATACACTGCAGAGGAATTGCTGGCAGAAGAACCTGTTCAGATTTGGCACATATTCAACCCACAATCATTTGCCTGTATGTCCAAGGTTTTGCTCTGAGCTGTTGAGGCTCTGCAGGGCTGCATGACCCTGCCCTGTGCTGCAAGCAGACAAGTGAAGCCCAAAAGATCAGTCCAGCTGCATTTCCCTGAGGCTGCCCTTGAACACGGGGCACGAAGGAGCGCCTGGGATCAGAGGCCTGCAGTCCTGTTCTTGGACTCATCAGGAGACACAGGAGGGCAAACAATGGTTTTCCAAGCAAACTCCCCTGTGAACCCCTTCCAGACTATCCTCACCTGTCCCCAGAGCCTTCTGGGCAGGAGATGGCCACCTGCCAGCTGCTCAGATCCCGACCCACTTTTCCTGAGAACTCAGCAAGGGAGAGTTTCACAGACAGGAGGAAATCCCTAAACAGCATGCAGCCCAGAGAATGGAAAGTTTTTTCTTGCTGGGGGGGTTGGGTTTATTGTGGTTCTCCCCCCCACCCCCACCCCTTCCAACTTCCCAGTGAATGCATCTGGCAGCACACTGTCCCTGCCAGTGCGGGATTCCAGCGGAAACCAGAGGTGGGAGGGCTCTTCCTGCCCAGGGGAGGCTTCCCAGGAGTATGAGGGATTTACAATCACCTCCTCTCGCTCCCTGTCCTCTGCAGAGCTGCCCTGAAGGCCATGTGCAGTGGCAGGCTGCAGACAGCTTTGCTGGTGGCTGGCTACTTTGTCTACCTGCTGGTAGGTGCTGCTGTGTTCCAGGCCCTGGAGAGGACTGCTGAGAAGCAGGAGAAAATGGCAGCTGCCCAGATGAAGGAGGCTTTTCTGCAGAACTTCACGCAGCTCACGGTGGCAGAGATGGAGCAGTTCATGAAGGTGAGTGGAAGTCCTTTCTCCCTCCTGTTTCCCCATCAGATGTTGTTTCCTACTCATCCTTGCTGCACAGGTAACTCTCAATGCTTTCCTTCTGATTGTGGTTACCTGGATGCTTCCAGCAAACCCCTCTCTGGTGTGAGCTCAGTCTGATGGTAAATACAACTTGTGTAGCTGGACAAAACTTTGTGTGTGCTAGCTATTAAAAATCCCCAGCCCACAATATCCTGGGTTTTTTGGGGTCTTGCCTCCTGTTGATTCTGCTTTTAGTGGGGCTGTGCTCTTACACAATGGGTGGCATGGCAAGAAAAATTAGGCTGTCTGAAATTAATAGGTGTGGCTGCCACTCGGAACAGCGTCACAGATTGTGCAATATAGAAACAATAAGGAAAGGTCTGGATGGGGAGAAAAAAAAAAAAAACAGAACTCCAAATAACTACAAGGAGGGTAGCATGGTCAGAGTTTCATTTTTAAGGATGCTGCAGAAGAGAAACAGGTAGCCTGGCCAGGGGAAAATATTTCTCGTCATAGCACAGGAAGATGAAGATGAATATGGCTGTCTCTTCAACCTGGGTATTTTAGAGCTCTATCTGCTATAATGCAGGAGAAAATGAGGAGTTAAAGCCTTGCTGGAAGCATTTCCACATGGAAAACTAATGGAGCTCTTAATGGGCCACTTCACAGAATAAAGAAATGCGGGGAAGAACTGGTGTTTCTAATAGCAGAACCAGCAATTCAGTCCCTGTTTCACCCATGCATGCATCCTCTTCACCTTGTTTTTTATGGGTAGGGAAGAAGGTTAAAAAAAAATAAGAGAGCTTTTCAAGAAGGGAAGGGAAAAAAAAGATAAGATTTTAAGACAAAGAAATCTTTGTGCAAGGGCTAAGGAAATTATTTTTGTTAGCCTCAATTTTCTGAGACATCAGCAAAAAACATAGTGAAGGAAGAAGCAGGGAGGAAGATTTTGCTGGTGCAATTTATTCCAGCATGCATCCTGCTTCTGACAGGGCTCTGTCCTGGATGTTATCTCAGTTGTTTCTGTACAAACCAGCCTGCCTTCCAGATGTCCAGTCCAATGTTCGCTGTTTGCTAAAGACAGGGACAACTGGATACTGTTTGCCTTTTCATTTTCCTTTTAACTTAAGAAAATAAAATAAAAAGACAGTTAAAAAAATAACAGCACTTAGAATTAAAACTAAGGAAGAGTCTGAAAATGCATAAAATGGTAAATGATAGGACTAGAGAGGTGTGGAAGAAATATTTAGTCGAGCCTTGTGTGGCAGGGCAGTCTCAACTCAACCCAAACCATCTCTGACAGATGTTCCTCTATCCTCCTCTCAAAGGCAACTTTGCAAATGTGTGTGTAAATGTATAAATTTATCTGTGTGTATTCATGCATACAGTTTGGAGAAGAATGTGTATGTCAGGCTTTGCAAATCAATGGACTTTTTCTGAATTTAATTCTGTGACAGTAATCAAAATACAGACTTGAAATCAAATTCTCAGTGTATCTCATGTGTTCCCTGGCACAAGTCACTGAGGCACCGCTGCGGTGCCTCAGTGACACTGCTCATACAGGTGGGTGATCAGATCTTGGATCCACCACTGCCATCTCAACTGCAAGTCCAAATCCAACAATCAGCCACCCCCATCTCTTAAACCAGTGCTGTGCCACATCGTAGTCACTCACAGGATTGTGATTTTCCAAACTACTTGGCCTGAAAGAAACAAGGCCCTTGGTCACACTGAAAGAAACAATTTCTCTCCAAACACCCACTGGAGCAGTCAGCACAAACAGGGCAGAAGCTGAACCCAAACCAACTGGATAATGCCTTCCCAGCCTTAGAGGTGAAGGTGTGAATAGTGTCAGACAATCTCTGAAGTGAGGTGAGAGGAGCAGTAGTTGGCTAAACCTGTAATATTTTTGCAGTAAGCACTTGAGAAAAGCAGTCATGATGATTCCAAACTTTGCTTTCTCTCCCAGAACCTGATTGAAGCCATTCAAAATGGAGTATACCCTGTTGGAAATGAATCACAGTTTGAAGAGAGCAACTGGGATTTCAGCAACTCCTTCTTCTTTGCAGGCACAGTTGTCTCCACAATAGGTAAGTCTAATGCTTTCTATTTATGTGTGCTTGTGTGTGAGTGATGCTTTTTATGTCTGGTTGTTAGGACATGAATGGATAATACTTTCCAGGATGAAAACTCCAGCCCTTTGTTGTCATGGGTGGCAAGCAGGCAAGGTCTTAGTCCTACGACCTTCCCAGTGCACAGTTTTTCATGCTTTATTTTGGCTTGTCAAATATCAGTGGCTTTTCCTATTATTTCCCACTTGTTTCTTCTTTTCAAATCATCTGTTATAATGTTCACTCTGCTGATATTTGTAGGTGGGAGATAAACTTCACTTTCCTGGTGTTTATTCCTGGCTTTAAATCTGAGAGTGCTGTAAAAGATAAAAAATGTAAGGAAAGAAGTGAGTCCTGCTGAGGCCCGTCTCCATAACCTGTTTTGAGCTGTTAATTCACATATTCAATTAGTAACATGCCAGGAGGAAAAGAATGGGAAGGGGTAAATGCAAATGCTGAGAATTTTATACTGCTGCTTCAAGCTGTTCTGACCTTTACAGGGCCTGCCTGCCCCTACCTGCTTCATCCTTTCTTTCAAACGTACATCCCAAAAAGTGCAGGCCTGCCAAACTTAAGGATGAAATCCATACTGTTGGCACCTTCTTCACAGTCATGCAGTGGAAGTCAAATGTGTGTTTTTACAGAGTGGTGCTGAGGCCTCATTCCCACCAGATCCTAAACACAACTGGTCTGTGACATGTCCCATGGGCCCCAGTAGTGTCCCAGCACCATGGGAGCTGTGTAAGTGCTGCCTGGGCCCACAGGAGATCTCCTGCTGTAGAAGGGGAGGGTTCTCACCCATCATTGAAACTGGAATATTTCTGCAATAGGGAGCACAAGACAGCTCATGCATTTGGGAATCTAGTAGCCCAAAAATCACTCAGTTGTTTTGTCTTTTCCCCCCAAAGAAAACATTGCAATTTCCAAGTAATGGATGCCTTGACATGAGCTGTGCATGGGTAATGCAGTTTCCCAGGGTCATTGATAGCATAAGGACACACAAAGTTCAGTATTCTTGCACTCAGGCATGTACCTCATGAGGTCCAAGAGTCTTAAGACTAAAGGACATGTTTGGGGTTGTTACACTAATTATATAAGTCCTCTCTTAGTAGGACATTAAGGCAAATGTCTCTCTGGCATGAGTAAATCAGCTACCAGCAAGGTCTGGGCTAATTAGCACCATCTATTCTAATGCACCCTGCACTGCCTTGGGACTGGAGTCAGTATCTGGACATAGCAACTCACTGGGATGGAGCCAGGGAGGTCACTGACACACAGGCAGATCAACAAGAAGCTGGGGATGGCTGCATGTGATCCTGACAGCCTGGGACTCCAGCTCTGATGTCTTCCAGATCCTCAGACTTCTATTTTCTGACTTTCCATGTATTTGTCACAGGACAGAGCATGTTTCCCATAATTACATCTTGATTGTGGTTTTGTTCCCACTAAGGCTGTGTTGGGAACACACAGTGCTTCTGCATTCCCCCAGACATGCAGGGTGAACCACTTCATCTGCTAACTGCCTTTTTCAGAGGAAAAAAGAGTGCATTTGGGCTGAGAAACACTAGCCATATCTTTTAGGGTCAAAGGCAGGCTGGATTGGAGTAAAGGTGAATATGACTGTGAAATGCTGCAGTTCTTTGGAATATCTCCTCTGACCCATCTTTTTTTTTTTAATAGGCTATGGCACATTACATCCTAAAACTGCTGGGGGACAGATCTTTTGCGTGTTTTTTGCACTTTTTGGAATCCCTCTGAACATTGTTTTTCTGCACCGTGTTGGTAAGATGCTCTCACTGCTCTGTAAAAAGCTGGGGAAATTCCTGTACGAGAAAGGAATGAGAAAGGTAATTGGTTTTACCTACTCAGGCACAATTATATGCTCATTTCTAGTCTTTTTCTCAAGTTTTATGCTGCCTTATCCTCGATTGTATTTCCTTTTGTGCTGGGTTAGATGTTCTAGGGCAGAAAGAGGCATTCTTCACTTGCAGAGCTAAGCAGACATGTCAGCCTTAGAGGAGATATTCAGACAAAGGCATGCATTTTGTCTTCCCATCTGATGGGAATGGCAGAAATCCAGCCCCCTTCAGCAATCAGTGGAGAGAGTGGGCATCCCACCCCACTTCTTGAGACACTTATCTCAGGAGCCAACACCCTGGGGAAGTGCATGCCTCCCTTCAAAACCAGTAAAGGTGATTAAACGTCACCTTCAGGCAGCAAAAGCAGGTGAGCTGTGCAAAGCTGTAAAAATTAGGTGAGGTGTAGAGGTTAAAATGGATTTTAACTCAATGCATAGTGGGTTACTCCTCATAATAGTGGGATTACCCAGTCCTTTAGTCTCTCTCCTCCCTTGACTCTGACAGAAAGGAAGCATCAGCCTGAAGTTGTCCATTTGAGCCTGGTTGCTGAATGATGAGGAGACACCTGTAACAAGCTACAGACAGGATGTCTTTTGTCTGGTTTACGCCCCATTTTATTTTCAGCTCCTCCCCTTCTCTCAGCACCGCTGAGGAAGTGAGAATAGCTTTTCTGTAATTCTCTTTAAGGACAAGGTATGATTGCTACAGATAACCCTGTTCAGATTGCTGAATTTCCTGTCATATATGGCAAACTAAAACAGAAGATAAGGCTCAATCAGATACAGGCTCAAGCATGTACAAAATACATGAAGACATGAAAAGTTGTCCAGCAGTTGCCATTAATTTCCAGGCAATCTGGATTTGGAAAATTCTATAGGTAGAAACTATGTGTGTCTGGCTGATAAAATCTCTACATATAACAAGTCTTCTTCTCTAGTCAAAGCTCCTTCATGACTGCTGGGAAGTAGAATGGCTTAAAAGTCACTGTCCAGGCTCTTCTTTATTAAGAGGTTTTTTTTTGTTTGTTTTTGTTTTTTTGTTTTTTTGTTTTTTTTTTTGTAGTGAGATATCCACTGTTAGGAACCAAGTCGTGGCATTGATGCAATGAGAAATAAAGTCAATGACCAAGACTCTTGAAGATAATACTTTCAGAAATGGTGCAATTATTTTTAATTAAAAATACTCTTTTCCCAGGCAAATCTGAATTTAGGTGCCAATCTTAAATACCTAAAAATTAAAAATGAAGTTGTATGGTGATAAGTGGAAATGGTTTGACTCTGGTAAATTTCATTAGATAGGAATTCCTCCAATAGTCACAGTCATTGATACAATCAAGTAAAAGACTACATCTTCCAGGGCCACTGTGGACATGAAATACTCATAACAGCTGGCTTCCCCCTGATTCTAAGAAAGACTAAGGTATTTCCAGAGGAAAAGCACTCAGTAGAAATCCTTCAGATCCTCCTGATCCCATATAGCCACCCACTTTGAATAGCCAGCACTATATATAGCTTATTTGTGTTTCAAATCATGATTATAATTGAACTGGTTTATTTTTCAGAAGAAGATCAAATTTCTGACCCTTTTGTTCTTCCTGGCAACGGGGATCCTGGTTTTTCTGTGCTTGCCATCAGTCTTCTTCCAGATAACAGAGGGCTGGTCCTACAGTGAAGGAATTTACTTTGCATTTATAACCCTCAGCACCATTGGCTTCGGAGATTATGTAGTAGGTAAGGTTGATTGCAGAGAAGAAACACATCAAAACACCAGAATAATGACTGTAATTGCAATGGGTTGACTGAATGTACTGTAGAGACAAATCTGTCAGAAGTCTTTGCTTAGTCTTTGCCTTGTACAGTTCTGGGGGAAAATACTTCTCTGGGATTGTATGTGCTTATAAAAGCACAAAGTCATCAAAATATAAAAAAATGAGGTGCTTTGGGGTGCAAAGTATTTTGGTGAGGGAAGGGAAAGTGGAATTTTTATTACCTAGAGGGAACAGTTTATGACAGCTGTACAAAACAAGGTGTGTATCACTGCTTTAGCCGTCTCAGATTTAGGTTTCACAGTGTAAAGTGAAGAAATAAGCAATCATGTTTCAGATTATATGACTTCACACAACAGACTAAGAGGTGGAAATCCCAGTCATCGGAAACTGGGAAAATCTACTCACACTGTTGGAAGTAGGGCTTAAATATATACATCATTGCAAAAGTGGCCTTCTTTAATCTCCTGAGTATCTCTGGAGGTTTTCTATCCTCACAAGCCAGAGATTAGGATTTCCCCTGAAGAAACACTGTTTAAGCTGCACTCAAGCATGCTGGAATGCTTCTCAAAACATTTCTGTGGATCTGCTGGACAAAATACAGTCTCCATGGAATAAGTTTCCAAAGGAACTGCAAAATAATTACCAGGAGCAAAATCAGTGTCCACAGAAGAAGCAGGAAACTGAACTCTGTGGAACATCCAAGATTTCTCTACAACAATCTGTCCTGCCATCATCTTGCCAGCCTGAACTTCTCCTCAGCAGGGGTATGCAAAGAAAACTGTAGCTGATACTTGCACCAGTGCTGTCCCCACAGAGGGTCTGGAAGCCTCACACACCTTTCTGAGGGACAGACATCTACCACACAATAAACCCTGGGCTCTCAAGCCTTGCAGAAGTACCTTGGAGCCTCTGAGCTGGAAGGATTTCTTATATAAGGCCAATGCCTTTGGCAGAGGGAGCCCACAAACTTTTCCAGGCACTGATGTGTCTCTGTTGACTATAATTTCTCTAAATCTGTTCCTTGAAATAGTCTGCTGTACAGAATGGTGGGGAGGGGCTGGTGTCATGCAGGAGAAAAACTGAGCATCAAAATGTTGCATTGTCTTTCCTTGTCCAAATCAATGGTGTGTTTTACAATAATGACAGCAAGTCACTGCCTGAAAACCATGACTTCCATAGCACTCCTCTGCAGCCATATTGCTTTACAAAAACAATAACTTTCTAATTGTTACTTAAAAATAACAATTAGATAGGTCTCATGGCTCTATGATTTCATCTTCATTAGGATGACAACTGAAGCTGAAATATTTTTCTGTGCCAGTATTTATCTTAATTGGCCTTAACAACAGTAATAAAATGTTGATAAATTTAATGCTACACATCTTCACAATGAAACGAGCAGAATCAATGACTGCTCTGAGAATTATGCACTGAGAATTGCTTACAGATGATAAATGGTTTTCTGCACTGGCCAAGTGGAACAGAACAGGTCTGAGTTGATTTGCATTTTAGTACTTCAAAATTGGTTTGTAGCTGAGCATGTTTGGGGAAGGCAGACATGCTGGGAAGATGGCTCAGCCTGGAATACATGTGCATAGAGGAGATACCTCTAGGGTGAAACTCCCTGGGGGTTGTTAACTGAATATTCTCTGCTCAAGTCCAGTTTTGGGGTAACAATACAAAGATATTACTTGTGGCTTTGCTAACCCCGCTCATGAACTCCAGATAAGAGCACAACAAGGAGATGCTTTGTACCAAGGCTGAGAATCCCTTTGCCAACTCAATGCCAGCAGCAGGAAAAGAAACAGCTGTTGGATACCTGTGCATGAGGACAAACCTGCTCACTGCTGCCCCATTTCCAGAGCTCTTGGATAACAAAGAACAAAAGTCTTGCCCATTAATCTATGCAGTAAAGAGCACTGCAGGACTTCAAAAGAGTTGCCAGCACCCAGGCTCCTTCTGGGCAGGTTCACCACGAGGTTTGTGGTGGTCTCCCTGTCCAAGCACATTGCTGTGTTTTCCACTATATCAAGACACCTTTGGCAGTGACTTGGAGCACTCCATAAGCAATATCACCAAGTGTTCCTGCAGATGCCGGGGCCACATCACCTGTATCATCATGATAATATTGTGTGGGGCCAGGCAAGTGCTCTCTGGACGTTGGGGGTGGGTTGCTGACATCTGAAGGATCAAACAAAATGACCCATGCAGAACAGCAGGTGTGAGGTCCTGGCTGATGCTAAGAGGATCAGACTGCATGAAATAAGCTTTGGTCCACTGGTTTCCAGCATAGAAAGTTCTGTTCTTGGCAAGTGTCAGTAAATTCTCATCAGTCATGTAGTTTTTTTAATGGGAGAAGCTCCTGAAACCATTCAAAAATGAGGTAGGAATTGCAGCTACACTCTTTGTGTCCTTGCAGGTACCTGTAATTTAAAGGAACTATTTATTAGGTTGTAATCACACTCTATAGAAATACAGGGAATTACAATTACCCAGATAATAATGGTTGTGTGGTTACACTGTGCTCTGCTTTTTGTGCTTTGGGACTTTGGGTGCAATTCCAAGATAATACAATACAATTTAACACTACTTCCCACGTTATTTAATTTACCTGTATGTGCAGCAGTTGTACTGGGATTGATATGTAGTAAGGGGGAAAAAATAACCTGCTCTGATGGTAATTCACCTCAATCACAAAATCATAGAATCACAGAATGATTCACTTCAATTTCGGTGTGTCATTTGGCAGGCCAGCATATTTGTATCATGCTTATTGCATATATCAGTTCATTGCAACAATAAGAAAATTGCCCAGCCTTAACCTAGTGCTCCAGAGCTGAGAGTCTCCATTACAGTGAAAAAGTCACCTTAAAGTACTCAATATAAAACATACTGATTAATTCATTAGGCTGTTCCACTTTACACTGGCAAGGCAATTTTAACTTTTTAATTTTCTCCTTCTTTCTCCCCCCTTATCTTCAGGCAAACAGTCTGACAGGAAATACTTTTCCTACTATCGAGTGCTGGTGGCCATTTGGATTCTTTTTGGCCTTGCCTGGATTGCTCTGCTGTTTAATTTATTGACAACAGTACTAGAAGATACTGAAAAAATAATTGTCAAGGATCTGCAGCAAATTGGAAAGGTGAGTAAGGACAATGTAGGAAGCCAGCAAAGAAGATGCTGGCCCGTTCAATTTATTCCTGAAGAAGAACAACTACCACCACGTGCTGGAGGGGATGCAATGAAAATGGAGTCATTAACAGCAAATTCTGAACACACAAAAAATGAAAAAAAGTGTTTTCTAATAGCAAAACTATTGCCATAACGTGTTGAGAATTGAATTCTTCATTGGAGAATTGCTAGTTAATTATTCTAAAGAAATTCCCATAGAAATAAAATTTCTCCTACCTTTTGCCGAGATATCACCTTTTAGAACTCAAGACTTACAGTTACACAAAGCCTGGATATTAATGGTATGAAATTTTCTCCTCAGTTAGCAGCTAGGTTGTGCTAACAGCCTGAGAAGTGCACTTGCTTTGCAAGGTGTTTTTAAGGTGCTTTCACAAAAATGCAGAGGAGGGGCATGGAAGAGCTTGCTGGTTCTGTTTGGATTTTGCAGCTTGCAAGAAATCATGTCTCTTCCAGGAACTGACATGCAGAAGCTTTTCTGACACTGCATAGCACTTTTGGAAGAAGAAATAAGGGTATATAACTTCATAGGTGCTTGACTTGAGCCATCATATTGGATCAGGTGTTATGGTCTGAAAGACATGTTTAAATGACAAGACCTGAGCTCAGTTCAGAGACACTTGAAGCATCTAATGGACAGGGTTATGAAAAGGTTAGCATGTTAGAAATGACTGATTCTACCTCTTCCTCTTTTATACTAAGATGAATAAAGGCAATTTCAGCTTTTATCCCTGTGGCTCTGAAAAACCTTTCTGATGGTGTTTATAAAAAATGAGACCTATCTTTAATTCAGTTTTTATAATAATTTTATTTTGCAAGTTTTTCATAAGAACTGAGACCATTATGAAGGGAGGAGTCCCTGCTGCAATGTTTTGATTCCATAGGAACTATGAAGCCATTTAGCAATGATTCTGTGGTGCTGTTGCTTTCCAAGGGTGAGTGGTGTCTAAACCTTCAACCAGGTGAAAAAAAAAGGGTGCCAGATCTGGGCATGGCTTTTCAGACGTGCTGTCTGGCCTTCAGGCCACTTCTGGGTGAAGACTCTGACCTTCAAAGAGTTGATCTGTGTGTCACAGGCCTTCTGTGTGCCAAAAATGCACGGAAACCCAGCCCTGAAGAGCTGGCAGAGCAGCTAGGGCAGACACAGTCATAAAAGTGAAACATCCCATGTGTGTTTATGATCACACCAAAAGTCAGCCCAGCCCAACACCTTCTCTGACCATAGCTGATGTGTCCCCCAGCAGTGCAAGGATCAGGCAGCTCTGCCATGCCCCAGCACAGGGGCCAAGCCCTCTGCCCGCCCATGCAGGAGATGGGGTCTGTACATCAAAATCCATGAACTTGCCCAAATGCTGAGCTCACAACAGCTCCCACAGGACCCCCCAAGGCAGTCCATAGCTTTAGTGCACCAAGTCCTCACTCTGACAGTGCTGAACCTGTCACTTGACATGTTACTGTGAGCCCCTCAAGCTCCTGTTTTGTCAGACTGAATAACTGGGTTTTGCTCATCCTCTGGGTGTTACTTACAGCATGACCAGCCCATGCCAGAGTTATTCCTGTATGAAAAGGAGAATAAATTACAGCTGTAAAGCAATTTCAGGTTATAAAGATGCAGTCAGCCTTGAAGCTGGATTCATAACTATCTCAGTCAAACAGAGCCATGCTTCTTGCCAAAGCAATTCTGCTGGTTCAAGACCTGGCAAGTAGACCTGGCCAAACATGTACTTTCTTTCCCTCCACAAATTATTTTCCAGTGTTACTCTCAAGGCTGACTTCTCACCTCATATGTCTCACTGTCAGTAAACATTTTTGAGGCAGCAGGAGCAAGACCTGACTGAAATCAAAGGAGGGTAGCAGGCACCAGAGCCAGGCAGAGATAACAGCTGGATGCTCCCAGGCAGGGATCTCTTCACCTCTCTGTTTTCCTCCCTCACGGAGCATTAACCCACACTATTTTTTCCAGGCATCATTCTATTCTCTATTATCTCTTTCTTTTTTTTTTTTTTTTTTATTTTCCCCAGCCCTTCCCAGAAGGATCATTAACCCCACTCCCAGTCTAATGTAGGGACTGTCAGGGCTGGTTTAGGGGGTGTGAGGGTCCTGCCTTGGGGTGCAATAGTCATTTTGTACAGCCTCTCATTATTCCTTCCATGCCAGCTCCTGGAGTCTGGAGTGGAGGGTTTCTTCAACTTCTTCCCATTACTCCCTGTTGTGATGACACAACTCAGCCCAGGAACAGGCTGCAGATGTCCCATTGTAACACAGAGTAACCAAAGATGCTTTTTTTAGACATTTCAGGAAGGGCAAGAGAGACATCCCATGGCCTCTGAGTGTAAACAGCAAGCACAGAGCCAGGCAGTGCCTCTTGGAGCAAAATGGGACAAATTCTCGTTCCTTTGCCTTGGTGGGTGTTTAAAAATGAGCCTTGAAACCCAAACACTTCCCACTTCCAGGACTCCATCTGTCCTGTGTGGTCATTGCCATAGGGTGCAGGCATTGTAACTCATTCCTCCTGCCATGCTCCAGGGTAAGGATGTGTTACAGAGGGACTGAAAAAGCCAGAGGATCCAGGAAACATTACCCAGGAATGGCTATCATGGGGCTGTCCACCTTCAGGCAGCAAGAACTGAGGTGTCCCTGTAGGTGCCAGCCTGGCAGCACAAAAAACACATCCATTTAAAAAACATGAAAATAAAACCTCTCAGGAGGAGCTTAGCTGCTCTGAGAAAGGAGGCTGCCTGTTCATAAACCCTTCCTCCTGCAGGGGCCTTTTGGAGAAGGGTCTTAGCTTTGCTCCTTGTGCCCTCCAGTGGCTGTGTGCTGCAGACCCTTTCCCATCACATCCCTGCCAGGTTTGGGGAGCCTTTCTCCACCTCCCACTGCTGCAGCTCTGTTTTGTCAGTGGGAACCAGAGGACACGGCCCTTTATTTTTATCCAGTTCACACGAGTGTGCAAAAGTCAAAAAAATGCCTCATTCTCCAGAAAGATGGGGATGAGCACCTCAGACTGGTGCAGCCAAGGTCCCTGCCTTATGCCCACGTGGAGACAGCTCTGTGGAGGCCAGCTGGGCTGTGATGGCTTTCTGCCAGCAAACCAGCACCAGAAGGATCCTCACTGGCAGCGCACACGGTGCCCATGGTGGGCAGTGCTCCCATCACACACCCCATGCAGAAGCTTCCCATGCACACAATCTGTTTCAGGGTCAAGGCACGCATTCCCACCCCATACCAAAAGGGAAAGGGATTGGTCTGGAAAAAAAATGTGCAAAAAGGCAAGTTTGGGTGCAGGATCTGAGGCCTGGAGGGGCTGGCAGTGCCTCATGCAGCACCACGGGCGGAGATAGGAGCTGCAGATATGTGGAAGGAAGAACCAGCACCAAAGGGTGTGTGGTCCTCTCTGCTGGGAAAGGCAAGGGGAAAGCCTGGGAAAGCTGCAAGCCAGGGTGGGAGAAGAACTTTTTTGGATATGATATTGTTCCTTGTTCTTAAACTGAATGATAAATCTGTCTCCAAAAGGGCTTAGGCACGGTGACAAATGTCTCCAGGGCTGGAGCAAGCAGCCTTTTCCAGCATTATCATCCTCAGAACATTGCACAACAGCAGCAGAAATTGCCCTCACATCACCCCTGGAAGGAGGAATTGTTGATTCCTGTGCAGGTAACAGGGCCCCAGAGAAAATTCAGTGTATCCCAAACACTTTCATCAGACCTCTGGCTCTCTCAGCCAGGACCAGGTGTCCTGGTATTGCTTACTGATAAACTAGACCCAGATAGTGGTTCTGTACTTCTTGAGGTTAAAAAAAAAAAAAAAAACCAAAAAAAACCACCAACTTGAATTGAGAGCAGAATTAGAGCAGAGATTCTACTCCACATCTGGAGATTTAAAATAATCCCAAGATTTTTAATTCATGACTGTAAGCCAGGCTTTGCTGTTCTTCTGCACGTTCTCCTTGCCCAAGGGACAGAAACCAGGAATAAATCCATTCTAAAATCCCTGTTCTGCCAAGTGACAGAGTGACAGAAATGCTCTGGAGACCAAGCAGAAGGGTTCTCCACTGGCAGATCTGTGCAGCCTGCAGCCTTTTCTGGGAGTTGCTCAAAGCTCTCCCTGTGACCCATTCCCACTGTGCCACACAGGGGAATCCAATTTTCACAGAGCAGCCTCCTGTGCCACTGCCAGCTCTCCCACTGCAGCTTGTTTTCAAATGGGAAACATTTCCAAGGCAAGCCAAATACTTTCCAATACATTAAACCAGTTGCTGAAAAACTCCAGGAGTAGGATTGTGAAATATATTATCTAGGATTAAATGGCAGCAGCATGTTCCTGCATTCAGTCTGTGCTGCTCCTCATACATCACCCACATCTTTGCTGCCAGCTAGGAAACAGTGTGCATTTCTGCACTTGAAACCAAGGAAAAGCCATGAGGAATTATTTTTCCCCTCAGAAATTCAATTGCCTCCAGAGAGAACAGGAGAAACTACACTTTGATCTGGTTTTAATTAGTATATGGGCTGTTAGGGATCGTTTGAGGTCTCCCTCAATTAATAGCCAGTTCATTTGAAGAGATTATTTTTTTTCTGGAAGCAGAGGCACTACTGAAAACAGTGGAACACCTTGGCTAATGTAACATCACACAGCCAGTAGGATATTCTTTTTTTACAGCTATTGCTAAGCATGGGCCACACACATGCTGTTTTCCACTCTGTCACACTTGGACTTGTGCTTGCTTGCCTGACTCGTGACCAAAAGGCTGGATCCAGCTCAGAACTGGTTTAACAAACATAACTAATCACTCTACAAAGGCTTGCTTGTAGTCCATCCCTCATGATCACATCCAAAGAAACAAAAACCCCGGGTTTTGGTGCCAGCCAAGTCCCTCATACCATTCTGGTAGGATTCAAAGTGGTGTTGAACATAGATTTGAGACCAGATCTCACACTGTGAGGAAAGGGGATCCTTTGGGATCTCTCACATGGATGTCTGGGGAGATGTCTGATGGGATGCCTGAGGACCAGCCTGGGCAGCACTGACTTTACTACGTCACAGGTAAAGTCAACATTTAGCTCTTCAGGGGCTAAAATTGGGGGGGAAGTAAAAATGCTGCCTCCTTGTCCATGCTCCTGCATCCCTGCAGCTGGTTTCACCTCCAACCCAGAACAGGAACTCAAATCTGCTTAGAAATTCAGCATTTGCTGTCATGAGTGGTTCTGGACTCAATTAGGGTAATTCTCAGTCATGGATTTGGGAAGGCTCATTATGCTGTGTTAAAATTAGGGCAATTATTGAATCCATTTGATTGCCAGACATGATTTAGGAGATGTGTCTCTTGAATAAACACTTTCCAAATTTCTCTTTCAATTACTCTTACATTTGTGGTTGGAAACTACATATGTACTTTGTGGTATGATGCTGAAGCATGAAATAATACATCCCCAGAAAGAGAGATACCCTGATAAGCAGAACAATAATAATAACAAGCATGAGTCATTGAAAAATGAAGGGAAGTACAATTTACAATTTAAGCTGATGGCTTCCTTGAGAGGGATTAGCCAGAAAGATGCTGATGTTCTCAAAGAACAAATGTGGTTTGAGGTGAATCCAGATTCTCAAAGTAAAAGATGACTGTTCATCTTTTGGCATGGAGAAAATCATGCATCAAGACCAGAAAAGAACATAAGTCAGAATTTGTGCTGGAAGTCCCCCAGAAATCACTGTTCCCTTCATTTAAATGACTCATTGAATGCTTTAAGATCAAGGACAAGGTCTTAAATTTAAAATGGTTTTGGAGACTTACTGGAAACCAAGGATGAAACCTAAGCAAGTTTCATCTGTCTATTCTCAGCTTCAAAAGTACAGGCATTAATCTCAAAATAAAATATGCACTGCCTGAAAATTAGAAAGATGCAAGAAGCCCATTATGGGCACCTTCCAAGTGCTGGAAACCAATTCTCCCTATCCAAGCAGCCTGCCTCTTCACAAAGCATGCAGGAGCTATTCAGTGTCTCTGTTGTGCAAGTCTGTCACAAATCAATGCTGGGGTTGGGACCTGTATATTGCCCCAAATTAGATATAAATCAATTAGAGGTCAATTCCAGTCTCTGCAGAACTTCAGCCAGTTTCCCAGTTGCCAGTATAAAAGTCCAACATTTTTTAAAATATATTTCTTTCCTTTCTTCCTTTCTTTCCTGATGTCTTTCTTCCTTACAGCCTTCAAGTTGGTGATGGGATGAAGGATGGATGCAGCAGAGCTCGCTACAGTCCCAGAAATGCATGGGCAGCTCCTGAAGAACATGGCCCAGCAACGAGGCCTACAAAGTGCTTAAAGGCTGAATGTAATGACAGCAGTGGTAGCACAGTTGGGCGGTGCCAAATAGCCAAAAATTGCTAGGGGGAAACAAAAAAGAGGAATTTCCAGCAGTGGTTGTAAAAGTCTGTTCCTTGCTTGCAGCAGGTCTGTGACAAAACCCTGCATACAAGCTGCCCACACTTTTTGCTCAAACATGGGTCATTTATTGGGCTGGAGTTTGGTAACAACACTTCCCAGTCATCATCTCACAGGTCTCTGTAGGGGCTGGGCCTGCCTTGGCAGACCAGCCAGTGAAGGTGGAAAACATCCTCTAGGGATGTCAAGGGAGAATCACAATTTTTGGTGCATGAAATTTCATGCTGGCATTTGTAGTAGTGGCTGATTTTTGTGATCAGCCTATATGATAGGTAAACCCCCTTTATGCACAGGTGTCCCTCAGCTGAGACAAAAAGTGTGTTGTGGTTGAAGAGGGACTGTTTACAAGGACAGGGAGGGACAGGACAAGGGGAAATGGTCTTCAAACTGACAGAGGGCAGAGTTAGGTTAGATATTAGAAAGAAATACTTCCCTGAAAGGGTGTTGAGGTCCTGGCACTGGTGCCCAGAGGAGCTGAGTGCCCTATCCCAGCCCTTTTCCAGGTCAAGCTGCATGGATGGGGCTTGGAGCAACAGTGGGTGTCCCCGTCCATGGCAGGGGTTTGGAACAAGATGGTCTTTTAGGTCCTTCCCAATTCAAATCATTCCGTGCTTCTAGGATTCTGTTAAGTCACTGTGCACACACACGACAGAGCCTCCAGATGTCACCATCAACCCAAGCAAGAAAGAGGCACAGCACTAACGGAGCAGAATAACCCCACTCACAGACTTCTCCTTCAGTCCCTGCTCCCCTGCCTGGGACAGACAGACAGGAGGGTTTCCAGTCCACCTGGATTAAGTGCTTGAGTCACAGACAAAATCAACGAATGTGGTTTATAGCTGTGCATGAAAGAATTTTGTATGCACATTTCGCTGATGTAGACCACATGGGTTCTTCCCTGTGTGTAGGTGTTCATTATTTTACACATACATATATATACACACATATATATATGAAATCCTCTATGTGTGTATATATATATATGTATGTATATGCAGTTATATATATAACTTCATAACCTTTGGTCTGAAGAATCACAGGTTCTTTGCCAACAACTTTACCTGAAGGTAAAAGGAAGGCGTGTTCTCCAGTGCCTTTTCTAACCATATACATATTCATCTCTTCCAGTACACATTCCTGTGTCCCATCCAGCTGATGAGCTGAGAAATGGAGCAATCAGCCCTGTATAAAGGATCTGAGAGCATAGGCACAGGTGTTCCCTGAGAAAGAAGACAATGTGATCTCAAGTCTCTGCAGTAAGGTCAGTGTTGACTTTTCAAGGAATTGGTTGTCTCCTCTATTTCCCTCGGCTTGTTAAGTTCATTTTATGGCTCTCTTTCAGCAATCTAAATTTCCCTGTCTAGAAAAAAAAAAAACCAAAAGGCTTAAAAAATCCCAACTCTGCCTCTTCTTCCCTTGAACTCTGCCCTCTCCTTACTGCCCACAAGATTGAGTGCATTCAGCATTTGTGGAGAAGAAAAAGACCCTCAGCGCAGCGCAAAGCTGGCATTTACATTGTCCCTGTCACAGCGTGGAGCTGTGACGCAGAATAAAGTCACAAGCAGAGCCAAGCATTGAGGCAGCAGAGGTGTGGGACCCAAGGGACCCTGCTGGTCACCCTTCCAGGGCTGCAGAGGGGTGTGCAGGGTGGCAGAGCACCCTCCAACCTAACTTTGTACCTGCAGAAAACTGGCAGGATATCTGGGGGCTGTTTGTTTAAACACACCCTTCCCCCTGAACATGACATTAAATAAATATCACAAAAGGGAATGCCAGATTGGGCTGGGGAATGCTTGTAGGGTACAGAGGTGTTGTTCTTACATGAAAAGACCCTCAGGCTTCTCCTGCACCAAAGTTTTCATCCTCACAAAGTTTGAGCAGGGTCTGGAGGGATGGTGACACGGAAGATTAATGGATCTCTCCCAGCCATAGGTTGTCAGTTAAGTCAAGCACTGCTAATGCAGGATGCTGTCCTGAGACCTCTGTTAGCCCAATGACAAAGCTTTTTTTAAGTCCTCTGTGTAAAAGGCATAATCCTTGTATGCCAATGGATCATATCCTCGAGATCCCTAGGGAGCAAGGCAAATGTGGAAAGAAAGGGAAAGGAAATCCCTTATTTCATAATGGTGCAAACAGACATGTCAGGAGAATTACATCAATATGCAGCACATGTGAAATTTAATACTCCTCCTAATGCATTTAGATGAGGCAAAATGTAAAGTCTGTACTGCCTCTGGGAATAATTCTGGTAGGAAGCTTTCACCACCAGGAACCAAGGTCTTTCTACTTACTCTGGAATTTGAGCCTTTGTTTTCAAAGCCTTCCTGAGAGACTTCAAAATCAAGTTTGTTACGTGTGCATTACTCTTTGAAGATCTGTCTTCCAGAATGAAACACCAGTGCTCTTCCCAGCCATGCTGGTGTAAATGAAGAGCAGCATGGTTGAAAATCAGTCAAATATTCACAAGGGCCCATCCAGCCTGCAAAAGAGGAGAGGCTTTGCACCGCAGAAAACCAAGATAAGCAAACACAACAGAGCTCTTATCCTTTGGCTGATATCAGCTGGCATTGCTGCAGAGTCCATCAGATCTGCATGGCTTTCCACCAGCTTTGACTGTGACCCATAAGGCTCTCAAAGGCTTATAAACACAATATTTGATTTGGAGTCCTTGCAGACAGGAGGAGCCTGAAGTCTTCTCGCTGGTTTCCCTCCCTTTTATCAAACCATGGATATGGAATTCAGCAAAGGATACAGCTCAGATGTGGCTTGAATTCAGACAAGTGACTTGAAGTGATGATTTTCCCCCCTACCAGGCTGCAGATGATCGATGTATTATGCATGAAAATAGTGCCAGGCACAGATGGGGTGGGAGTAGAAGGTGTGAGCTGATAATGACAGCAGCCAAGTTCTGCTAGAAAAGACTCTACAACACACTTGCATGTTGGGCAGAAAAAGGATGCAACATGCATGAGAGGCTAGCCATGGTTTAAAGGGTCAAACAGATTAATTACAGTCAAAACTGAGATTTATGCAAAGATTTGAGTGGCATGGTTGCCAGAGGAACAGGGGATTAGCCTTGATGATTCAAGGAATCATCTTCCAATCTTGTGTTCTTGAATAACCATTAGGGAGCTGAGTAAAACACATTTTTTGGGGTTTAAAAGCTGAAGACAGGGAATCCAAAGGGGTGACATAGTTCTGCATCAGATATTGCCTTCAGCAGGATCCTGGCTCGTGCTCAGCACAGTGCTGAGAACTTGGCACCAGGTCCAAAGCTGAAACAAACAGGAATTTCATCATGGACATTTCTAGGGTTTGGATCCAAGCCACTGAAGACCAGCATGTGAGGCCTAATCCCGTAAAAACAGTCAATGTTTGGATGGGAAACATGTCACTGAGTTGGAGCCAGGTGTGTGCAGACTTCCGTGGGAGGATGAGTCAAGAGAGCTCTGGCATCATCTGCAAAAGGACCTGATGCTGTGGGAGAGAGCTTAGCAAGTGTAAAAAACCATGAGGAAGCAGTGATGGTCCAAAGAAAAGCCCACAATTTCCCTGGTTGTCCTTGGAGCATTCTGGAGATCATTGCAAGACCAGGCACTTGAAATAAGCTGTTTCCCTTCTACCTCTGAGCCATGAGACAGGGATGGTCTGTTCCTCACACAGCTCCTCTGGAGAAACTCCAGCCTTGAGCACAGAACTGACAGCTGGCAAGATGCCATTGGCTTTGCCAAATCTGACCACAGCTGGTCCCTGATGCAATAAAATGTTGAATCACCAGAATCTGAGAATGTGATTGTCTGGAGGGCCACCAAGAAAAATCAGCAAAGACTTGCCGGCAACTTGCAATGCATTTGCCAGTTCCAGGCTCCGTGGAAACCTGACCTGTCAAATTTCCTCCAAACAGGGCTCAGATGCTTGAATTTGCCAGTGTGGAAAAGCATTTCTGATAACGCTGCCCAACTTAAGCTTGCAAAGAAACCTCAAGTAGAGAGAGCCTCACAACGAATAAGGGTTTGTCTCACAAAATTCCCATACCCCAAAGGGTTACAACCCACTCACCAAAAACCAAGAGCAAATGTGTGACAGAAAGGATGCATTGGGATACTGGGAGTAGCTCAGCATCCATGATGGCTCATGAGTGACCATCAGCTCTGCCAGCCACTGGACTGGGTTTTTTCTGCTTCCCCTCCATCTGCCAGCTCAGCAAGACATCTCCACAGGGATCCACACATATCCTGAGACACCTTCAAACAGGGTTCCCTGTGACTGTAGCCCAACACAGTTTCCCTAAAGTACAGTTTCACAACCCCAACAGTTTCCCTAAAGTATAGGAGAACCTGAAGGCCTTCAGTCAAATCAGTTTCACTGGTTGCCCAGAAAAAAGCTGTGGCTGCCCCATCCTTGGAAGAGCTGGATGGGGCTTGGAGCAGCCTGGTGTCATGGAAGGTGTCCCTGCCCATGGAGCTGGCAGGGGATGGAACAGGGTGATCTGTAAGGTCCCTTCCAACCCAAACTATTCTGTGCTTTCTATGGTTATTATGAATTCACTAGTTTTACACCCAATCAAGACCTGCCACACTGAAAAGCCCCTTCATTCTCACTCTAGTTGTCCCTAGGGTCACATTTTGGGGTGTTAGCACCATCGAGACCTACACATCAGTCCAGATCTGTCCTCCATCTGTCCTACATCCTTATCTCATGTGTTTTCAAGGAGCTCAGCAGAAATATATGGATCAAAGTTAATCGATAATACCACAGCCCTTTCACCATATTGCTTTCACTACATTACTGCATCCTTTAAAAACAGAAATCTTAGCAGACCGCAGTACAATGCCAGACAGACTGTCACTTCCAAATTATGTTTATTTATTCTCTCTCTGCCTCTTGGCTGGCCCCATTACCAGCATATCTCAGTGTCTCTCAGCCATCAGCATATTTGCCTCCCTTCCCTTCCCCCTACCCCGAGGTACGTCTCCTCTCAAGTACAAAGTGGACTGACACGGCAAGTTTTTGAGCCTATTTAACACCAGCTTTATCTGAGGAGAACTAGATTCAGTGACAGAGCCTCAGAATTAATTACACGAAGGTGAATTCCCGTCACAGAGCCTGGCACAGTGTCACTGCAAACATTTTAACAGCCAGTCCCTGGCCCTCGACTGCCTTTGTGCAGTGTAAAGCAATTATTTGTACCTGCTTGGTGAAACGTGTCAGTCCCTTCAGAGGTGCTGCGACACAGCAAACACGATTCAACCCTTGTTATTCACCAGGAAAAGGGTGTGTGGTGGATCTTGGCTCTGCACAAAGTCACTACTGCTCAAGATCAAGCTCTTCAGGGATCTGAATGCAGCAGTTTGTGTACTATCCACATGAAGAATACCTTGCAGATGAGGCCCAGTGATGTGGCCAAAAGCAGAAATGGGACTTGAGGCCAAGGAAACAAAGTGTGAATCTCAAACAAGCACGTCCTTGCTGAGCCCCACCAGCAGGGAGGAATGGAAGACTGAACCCCCTCTTTCATCTCCCTTTTCCTTTTCTCTCCCTTTTCACCTCCTGCATCCCAAGGGTACCCCTGGTGGAAACTCTTTACAACCCTCACCCCAGGTCCAACTGCTTCCCCTTGCTTCAGCTGTTACAGCTGACACATTCTTACCACATTCCTTCTTTATTCTCATCGCAAAAAAAAAAAAAAAAAAAAAAAAAAAAAAAAAAAAAAAAGAAAAAGAAAAAAAAAAAAAAAAAAAAAGAGGACATGTTCTGAGGTTTTCTTTACATACCTTTATTACAAATTTGCACAGAGCTGAGCTGACACTAGGGTTAACCTGTAAAGTCCATTAGAGATGATCCTAGGAGACCAGGGGGAAAATAAGGAAAGTTGCATTACAGCCTGGAGCAAGGAAGAGAAACTGTTTATCCCTTCCACTGCAGCATGCTCCAGGGCAAGGAAGGAGGGATGGAGGGATGAGATGAGGTTTGTTACAATGGAGAGCAAAGGGAATTGACTGCATAAAGGAGAGATTGGGGCACAGGGCAGAAACAAGCATTAGAGGGGACATCTCTGCCTTTCCTGGAGGAAAGGAACTGTCTGCACATCCCAAATTCTCCCTCCACTGGGACTAGCAGAGACTGTGAGGCTCTTTTAAGATCAGAGGCAGATGAGATTTACCCAGAGCCTTTGGGGTTTAGTCAGAGCTCCTGGACCTCCCCACACTGAAGATCAGCTGTGGAGCACCTTGAGATCCCCTGGGGAAGAAGTGCTGAGGACCATATTGCTCCTGGGCAGAAGGTTCCTCTGCGGGGTGTGTGGTTGCCTCCCCATGCAGAGGGGGACAGGATGAGCCATCAGGCCAGCCCCAAGAAAGGAAGTTTTCCAGCTGATGGGCAGGAATATGGGGCTATTCTCAGTGAACTCCTCTGTGGTGCAGAAACAAAGTCCTTTCTCATGAGGGAGGAATTCAATGGGCCTCTCTGGGAATCAGCACCACAGCACGCAAAAGGTCAGGTCTTGTTCTGGAAGCCTTTTTTCCCTCTGCCAGCAGGAAAAATATTTTAAAATATCATCTAAAGAACCCTGTTCCCCTGTACTCCCTTCCAAATACAAAAAGGAGGAAATTGCCTCAATGTGGGGAGCAGTGCTGCGGTGGGGATGGCAAATCTCCCTGTCCAGCCCATGGGAGCCACATTCCCTTTGCACCTGACAGCTTTGTTATTAAAAGACCATGGCTAATTAAGAGGGGAAGGAACAATGGGAACATCCTATTCCCTCTGCAGGGCACGGTGCAGAGATTGCCACATCTGTGGAGACCCTGCCAGCATCATCTGTCACGGTGTGGCTGTTTGATGTGAGACTTTCTTAGGTGTTTGGTTGTCCCAGCTGCACCTCTGGGGTTGTCATTGGCCTGGCTCTGCCTGCTCCAATCAGTGTGAATTCTCCCAGGGCTCCACTAACCTACAGAAATGTGCTTTCCACTCTCATCCTGGGGTGAAGACACACAGAGTCTACTCTGGCACTCAGAGCCATGTCAACACGAAGGTTTCTCACTTTGATGACAAGTTGCCATCACTCAATTCTGCTTTTGTAGCCTCCAAAAAATCAGATTCCTCAAGACCCACGGAGGTCCATCTTCATGTCCCATAGCTTAGCACATCCAACCTTTGCTGAAATCATTTTGAGTCCATGTTACATGGGAAAACTGAAAATGGTCTGCTGTCTATTGTAATCTTTCTCTGCCCGTCCCCTTTGATTCTCAAATTGTTTGTGAATATGAAATTCCACTTCTGTGACCGAGGCAAATTATTTGCTTAAGATAATTTATGGTTATTCTAAACTCAGCAAGTTGACTAGGTAGTCATTTATGGATTTTCAAATGGACTTGTAGAGAGCTTTAGTCACACATTGTCCAAACCCCAGGACCTGAACTGAAGGAGTTTTGTTTCAGCTCCCATCAGCTACAGAGGTCACAGTTAAGTAAAATCGGCTTAAGCTGGGATTGGAAAGCTGTGTCTGCTACATTAGCAGAGAGATCAGATGACAGATTTGGTCTGGCCTCATTATCTAGCCATAAAAATGTAAGGGCCTGAAGTATTTAGGGAGTAGGAATGCAGAGAGCAGGAGGGATTTCTGGAGGATCTCTATGCAGTATTTGCTGTCTGGGAAAATGAGACCAAAGGACCCCCCCAACCCAAACTGTCTGATGTGAGCTCTTATCTCCAACAACAAACTGAAAGCAGGAGAATCAGTCTCTTCCTTTTGCAAACAGTTCAGGGAACAGGGGCTCCTGTATGTCTACAACATCTTGCATTTATTTTTAGCTTCATCTGTTTGGTTAGTGAGGTCACTGGAGCCCAGGCTTAAACATGTTCCCCTGACCTGCCAAAGCTCTGGCTTGCCTGTAGCTATACAGACCCCAAAGAAACAGAGCTAACATGCAAGAGAATTTTATGTCAGTATTTTATGCTAGACCTCGAATCACTGTGTCCTCATTTATTGCAACGCTTCTTCTTCGGGTATGAAAACTGCAAAACGCACTTTGAGCAGTTTTGATCCAAAAACCCCATTTGATGGGGCTATTTCCTGGCTGAAGTAACCCCCAGGACTTTTCCAGTCATTCTGCATATAGGACTTAATTTACACAGTTCAAGGATTAAATTACAATTTACAGCCTTTGGTATGAGAACAAACAAACAAACAAACAAACAAAAAAAATCCAGCCTTCCTTCCCCCCAGAGTTGGGAAGCATTATCCAAATCACTGCTAGGAAGTAAATGTCAGGGTACCTGGAGCCAGCACCTTCCATCATTTCCATCCTCATCTAAGCTAGAAAATTACTTTGTGGGGGAAAACTTTCTCATGGAGCTGCAGAGGAATTAGCAAATAATGCTTTTTGGAGTGATAGCTTGTCCTGCAAATGCAATAAATTCCCGATGGAGTCCCCAAGCCCAGGGCTGGAAGCATGCCAGGACAGAGGTGCTGGAGAGCAGGCAAAATTCATCACTGCTCCACAAGTGAGGTGAAGCTGAGGAGCCTGCAGGAAACCCAGCAGGTGAGAGGGGAGGTAGCACAGCCCTGGGTCTTACAGGGTGAACTCTTGTCCTGACAAGCTTTTTGAGTGCTCTGCTGGGAACCATGAGCACACTGGCTTAAACCTCGCCTCCACAGCTCCTGCTCAGAGAAAAGATGTCCCCCAAGGAGAAAAACACCTCCAGAAGTGTGCATCTATCTTTATTTTCACTCCTTGAGTCATTCTGGGAAAAGCCCTTTTCTAAATGCTGACATAACCTTCTCTTCCCTAGGGAAATATTCATGTAGCTGCAGGTGACTGAATTAGGGAAGCTCAGAAAAACTTCCTGTTAAAATAAGCCACAGGGACTGCCCATGTGCAGATTTTAGAGCTCCTGCAAATGCAAAACAGAATGTCCCTGCAGGGTGACTGGAGCTAATGTGCTCTGCTTTACATTTGCATTTGGCTCAGAGTCGCACAAAGGCTTCTTGCTGGGGCAAAAGTGATAAAGAATTAAGCTCCTGTTACTCAGCTGCTTGCAAGTATTTGCTGTATCTCTGGTGGAAAAAGTGTTGCAGAAAAAAGATGCCTTTTCCTCATATGCAACCAGAAAATGCTAAAGATTTGGTTCAGCTCTCCTCCTCTCTGCTCTGTGTGTCTGGAGTTGACACACCAAGAACAAATTTCCACTTTTCTATTATCAGAATAATGAATATTTTTGCAATCACATTATTTATCTAGAGAAGGCATGGTCACTGCCATAGCAGATTATATGAATCAAGGTACTTAAACTCTAGAAAATGACATTTTGTTGACTTTCATTAAGACCTTCTGTTTTGTCTTTTTTTTTTTTTTATTGTTTCTCTCTCCTATCCTAAATTGTTAACAAATATCACCTCCTTTCCAGAATGCCAAGAGAATGACTTATCATGGAGTCACAGAATCACTGAATGGTTTGGGTTTGAAGGGGCCTTAAAGATCTTCTCATTCCAACACTCTGCCATGGGCAGGGACACCTTCCACTATTTCAGGATGCCTAGAACCCCATCCAAGCTGGCTTTGAACACTTCCAGGGATTAAGCCTTATTAGGGGTGCAGATATGGATATCCCCATGGATCCACTACATATTTGCTAAACACTGGTCAAAACTTCAGATAATTTATGATCTGTTTAATTGTTGAAAAGTTTTGATAATCAGATTAGCCAGTGGGTGACAACACAAATAGCACGTACATGATGGGAAATTGTTCAGGAGAACTCACTGTAAACTGCTTGGAGACCTGTGCTGTGGAAAAGAAGTCATTTAAGATTTCCAGCCACACAGACCTGAGTATCCAGGCTCATTCTGAGTTGTTTGAAAATGGGCAGGAAAAAAAATAGAAGAAAATCCCCTGATAATTCATCTGTGGAGGCTAATTTACTGGGTCTAATCAGAGCAAACATCTCTATGGCTGGAATGCTGAAATAAATTAAATATAAAGCCTTCAAGGTCATAGCTTCCCAAGCTAATAACGCAGCACTGCTGTGCTCAGGTGGAGATGCTCTGTGCTCCACTGTGAAAAATCTCCATCAGCTGCATGGAATGGGAATATTTCAAGCAGTGATCAGACCTGCCTGAAAGAAAATGGAGTGAAGAGAGGATATAGAGGATTCAATCTTCAGACTTGAGCAGCTCAATAAAAGAAGTTTAGACACTCAGATTGGAAATAAAATACCTAAAAAAAGACATTTGCATTTGGGGTGGGAGAGAGGTAGTGAGGAGAGTTTGGAGAATGCTGCTAGAATGTGTAAGCTGTAAGATGCAAACATTGCTGTTCTGCTTCCAAATGCTGATGCAGAAGCAATTAGATTTTTTATTATTATTATTACACATATTATTATAATTATATATTTCAAGAGTGGCCATGTTACACATCCCAACTCCTGCAGGGACCATCCCCCTGGATCAGAGGTTTATAACCCTCAGGCAGCCCCAGGTGCCCCATCCAGCTGACCAGAGGTTACCACCCCACCAGATGTGCAGCACAGCCATTTCTCTGCCTTTCCAATCCCAGCCCTGAAGAAATGGGGCTGCAGGAACAACAAATATCACCTTAACATGGAGCAGGTCTCAGCTAAAGGCAGCCAGGAGGAGATGGATCAGGCAGGGGCAGACAAGGCAGGAAGCAGTGGAGACCCCAGGCATGGGCACACAGCAGTGCAGGAGGATCTCCTGCCCATCTCTGGGTGGGTGGACACCCTGGAAGGATCCTGGTTTCTGGTGAAGTCCTGAACCTTTGAGGTCAGCCTTAGCAGCTCTGGTTATTGTCATCCTGAAATTCCTGGGAGGATGCCCTGAGATTTCTTTGCTACCACAGGTTTACTATTCTGTTGATTTTGATGTCAGCAGAGGATCTTCACATAGCAGGATTGGAAATGTCTCTGGTTTTATTTTATTTTATTTTATTTTATTTTATTTTATTTTATTTTATTTTTTAATTATTATTTTATTATAGTTTATTTTGATAAATATGCATTTCACAGCCACCTCAACTTCACACACTCATGCCTGTGAATCTCACCATTTAAAATGACTGCTTCACCCTAGCTGTTAATTTAAAATTAGATCCTGTGCCTATATATGTGCCTATACACACACAGAGTGCCATCCACTTTGGTTTAGTCTCCTCTGCATACATTATTATGACACAGTCTTGAGAGATGTGACCACAGAGCTATTTGTCTGCCCTCCACCAGCCCCTGCTTTGCTCCATCCATAATGATCCAGACCCCCACACTGGGTGGTTGCTGGGTGTTTCTCTCCCTGTTCATCACACAGCCTCTGCTCCTCGTTCCCTCTGCACACCTTTCTAACCCTGGGCTCAGCATTCCTGTGAAGTGCTCTCTCTTTGAGACTGAAAACCTCACCAGCACTAATGGGCGTATCTTCAGCAGAGCCCTGTGCCACAAAATGATACCATTATCCCTGTTTTTGGAGATGGGGAGCAGAGTTGCAGAGATAGGAAGGTCAACAGCATTAAAAGCATCTGCTAATTTGAGAAAGCACAAGGCAGGATTTTTCAGAGCGCTGTTTTCCACAGCACTTCGCTTGGTGACAGTACAGGTGGCCTTTGACTGCGTCTGCAATGGTGAGAGCCTCACCCTGGTGTCTGGCAGAATGGGGTCACAAGCTGGGCACCAAAGCCACCAGCAGCCTGTAATTAGTGCCCATCTCTGAGAGGTCTGACCCGACCAGAGACACGCAGCAAAATCCCCATCTGAAGCAGGCTGGGCTGGCAAAGCTCTTCAAAAACAAACACTGCGTCTTCTGATGGAAAA